GTTCTGCTGTTATGTTGCTAGTGTGAACTAGGTTTAAACTGACAACTTCATTTTTGTTGAATTTGACTTTTACAAAGGACCCTTTTACTCTATCCCTTCACACAGAGCATTTAATCATAAATTTTTAATTTTTTCAGTTCAATCCACTCATCACCCAGGGGTTTCAATGAGTTTTATAGCATCCAGGCATCAGGATATGACAACCAGGCAGAAAAAAACATAAGCTAGGGGGTCCGCGGTCATGCCCCCATGGAGAATTTTGAGATCATAGACTTGCAGAGATGCATTTCCCTGCAATTTGGAGCACAAAATTAGTATGGCTTTTAAAATTGTTTACAGAAGATCATTGTATAGTTAACTAAATCATATTTTGACACCATTGATCAACAGATAAATCAGTTTTCAGTATTTCATAATTACTGGCTTCGATACAATTTTTAGGTTTCTAGCAAAAATAAACTCGTAAGAGTTTTTTGATTCTCTCCTTTTTTAATTACCGTGAATGAAAAATGTGTGTAAGCAAACCGCACAAGCAGAGTTCTCCATTGTATATGCCGTAAAGAGACTTACATGATATGCAAATTGGCTTCTTTCCATAATTTAAAAAGCGACCTGATAGCACAGAATAAAGCTTTTCAATGTCCAGGAGTTTGATGAAACTGAGTAGTATATTATTTTTATTCAATGCGAACAGGTTATATTTTTTGTCTGCTCTTTAGTCTTATAGAAAAATAAAACTTGAAACTCAAACCAGCGGAGAACAAATTGGTCATGTGCTAGGCAACCAGTGAAAACAGCAAACCAATTGAGATGACTGAGATGACCAGGGAGATGACAATCTCCAATTTTGTCGCTTTCTAGTCAGGCCAGGGTAAGAAATAATTTTATACTTCCTTTACACTCTATTTTTTTTTTTTTAATGAAAATACATTCTTTATTGATACACATAAACCCATATACAGTACAATGCAATAAACTACAATTTTAACAATTGCAAAATTAATACATTTATCAGCTATAGTAAATAAAAATAAAGCGAGATTTAATAATAATCATAATGACTTAACCAGAGTAGACCAAAGCAGGAGCATCACTGCATGTAAATTTTAATCTAAATTTTCTAGCCTGTACTTAGAGGAGACTTTGCTGACAAAATCTGTGATGAGAAGAGAATTATCGTGTAACTTATTTGTATAGATAAAATAGCGAGCAAAAAGCATGGTGTAGTTAAATTTTTTCAGTAGTTTTTTATTGGCAGGATTGAAAAAAACCCAAATAAAAATTCTTGATTTGACGGTTTGAACGAAGAGTTATTACAGTTGTTGAACCATTGCACCACTTTTGACAAGAAATCTTTAGTAAAAAGACAGTCTGAAAAGGTATGATCTATCGAATCTTGTTCTCCACGATATAGGCATTCACTGTCGTTTTTGATGCCAAATCTTCAGAGCTCTTTTTCAGTTACAACGATTCAGTGGAGAAATTTGAAGTGAAATTCCCTCAGCTTATTTTCTCTGGAAAACTGTTTAATCGATATAAAATTTTTTTCCCATTGTTTTGCACATATTGGCATAGCTTTACTCCATTTAGTTGGTCCAGTATGTGGACTATTATTAACTTGTTTGTTCAATAACCAGTAGAAATCCTTTACCTTCGCAGTTTCAAAGTTTACCTTCGTTGAACTATCAAGATCGAAAATTGAGTGGTTTTGTAGAAAGATGCTCTTGGAGAGCGGTTCCAAGTTATTGTTCTTTGTCTTGGCCAGTAAGCTGTCCGGAATAGCACTTCTAACTTGATAGTAATTCAAGAAGTTAGTTTTACATTTATATTTCGCTTTAAAGGCTTGGTATGAGAGTAGCTGACCTTTTTCATCTAACAGGTCACTTATCAAAATAATTCCTTTTGAAAGGTTTAAAATTCATAGTTTACCTTTCTATCAATGTGCATGTCACTCACGCCACGAGGTTGTGAAGTTTCGTTATCGCACAATCAGTTTGTTTATTTGAATTATTTGTCATACTTCGTATTTTGGGTTTCAAACAGCATCTTAAGCGTAAAATGCAGCAAATGCGTGTGCATCCCAGCTTGTACGACAACGAAACCTCTAACCCAATGTGGCATTGTTAACATCACAGGATTAATTTCGCTGCTGCGTATGACCTGGCTCGTTCTTGGCTGTTTTTGTGTCAACAGAGCTAGTTTTGAGCACGAGCACTTTCTCCAGACGAGTGATTAAAAAGAAAATAACGAAGCATTAAGCCGTTCTATCCGTCTGTTGTCATGATTGTATTGCTCCTTTATCGAAGTCGCTGCTACTTGTCACCTGTTATGAAATGGCGCCAATAGCGCGCGGTTTCTTTTGAACCTCGCTGAACTATTTTTTACAGATTCATTTAATTCTCGTTTGAAGTAATATTGAGTTAAAAATAAGGCGTGCAGCTTGTTTGGTGGTCTTTAGTGCGAAAAACGCAAGAAAGCTTGATGTGTTGTCCAGTAAAATTACTCGCTTCAGTAAATTCACTAGCGTACGTGCACAGCATCTGTGAAATTCAAACCCTGTCAAAAAGACGGAAGACAAACGTGTCACGACCAATGGGCGGATAAACGCATTCCGTAAAACCAATATTTAAAGAGGACTGCTAAATCAATCAGCAATAAATTGACGCGCGTCGAACTGAACCGTAATCTTGGCGCAACGCCTCGCACCGAACGCGCAGCACAGAAATGGAGATTGACGAAAACGCTTCACAAAAATGTCGCTGGCTTCGCGTCAGTTGGAAATGTGGGAGATTTGGACTGAATCTCCGATTCAACCCTGTTGTTACTTTCCTATCGGCCGCCACTATTTGGTTCTTTGTGATTTGGTGCTCCGTTCGATCCGAGCAGGCTTTCAACGAGATGACTGGTTGGATGGCATGGATAACCGAAACCTGTACCTGGATGTACATTGGTACCCAAGACGCCTGGGCCGTGTTCATTATTGTGCTTTATTTCTCGAAATACGGCAGCATGAAACTGGGCAAACCAGATGACAAACCGGATTTCAGCGACGCAACTTACTTCACAATGCTGTTCGCCGCCGGGATAGGAGTCGGTCTGTTCTACTTCGGAGTCGGTATGTACCGGTTTTGGATTTAATAAACTTGTTTAACTTGTCTAAAACTCTTGGAAGGAAACCTCGTTGCACTTTAAAGGAAGAAAGGGCAACCTCTATATTAGTGTCAGTCGTACCTATCGCGGCCTCCGATAATTTTATTATATTTAATCTTTTTTTCAAATGGGACTTATTTGGTAGAATTGGCCATTATCTAAAATGTTAATCATTGCAGTTTGCTCGAATTTTTACAATTAGTTGGTAAGTTGCAGAATATTCCGGTTTACGAAGACGACATCCTCGTTGTTTATACCCGCCCGTCGACTGTGTGTTAGGGATTCCTATATTAAGGAGAAATTGGATGCAAATCATCTGTCCTGTCTAAATATTCCCGGATTGTTTGTGTTTTTTTTTTCTACGGTATCCTGCCTTTTGTCAAAGTTGAAAGGCTGCGACGCGTTGTGATTGGTCTGTACATGACAACAGGAATCTTCAATAACCTGTTTTTACTGAACCTGATTGTCTCGTGATTACCAACGCAGACTGTGTTGGCTGTGACACCAAACCACCTAGAAATGTCATATTCATCAATTTTCGATCCCACACATGTAGTTACGTCACACTTCAAGTCACGAGTTTGTGTGAAATTATTTTGTTGGCTAAACTTGAAAATATTTCCTAACAGCAACGAAAACAGTAATGTTTCCCCCCCCCCCCCCTGGCTTTTGTACCGTAATATTTACTTTCGTAGAAAAAGCACCTGATCACCTTTGATCTCATTTGTTTTAGTCAACACTGGGTAAACAGCGCACGCGATGTGCTCACGCGACTTGTTTTCTCCTCCAGTAGGGTGGACTAGGTTTTACTAGTTGATTTTCTCTCTTTCATGTCCCCGATATATTTCTGTGTGTCATTTCGCAGTAGACATTAATTGGCTTCTTTTCAATATTTTGTCAGAGATCGATAATTTCCTCACAATCAAGGATTTTAAGCTTTTAGACAGACAGCCTACAGTTTTATCTTTACATAAACCTCTTGTGTATGCGTCCTCAAAGTAGGGCTATTCCTGTCACACATGCTTCTGACCAGACTGTCATGCGCTATATGTTATAAACTCAATGAAACTCAATTTTTGGCAGGAACATTTCTGTCGATTTATCCCTAGCACGGAGAGAGTTTACATTCCATGCGTTTTAAACCTAAAAGAAGAGATAATTCGACTCTCTTCGTGAGAAAGGTTTATAAACAAATATACAAGACTCGATTTTAATCGCATTTGAAACTCCTCCAAACGATTGTCAAACACAATACACCACGATATAGCGAGATCATTTCTGATCATTCCAGTTTTCATTAAACGATGAATGCGATGATTAAGCTTTTATTTTCGGGCGGAAATAACAAGGTCGGCAAGGTTGAAATGGCAAGAATGTGTTTTTAGCTGGCTGAAAGCGAGTAAACAGCACTGTAGCCAGTAAATTCACTGCACGTCATTAACAATACAGCTCATCAGTAAAATTACAGCCAGCTGACACTAAAATTACCACACGTCAATGAAATCGAAAACGGGAAATACCAAAAAAAACAAAAAAGAACCACAGTGGAGTCCCGACCAAGGGAAACGAAAGGTGGATTGAAAGATCAGATCAGTTGAGGTTCTAGTTCTAGTTTGTCTGCGTTCTAGTTGTCGGAAGGTTCGAAAAATCGTGGGTTTGAAAAAGCGGGATTCCACTGTTGTTCTCTATAAAACATAGTCAAAAAGCCGTACAAAGAACCCCATTAAAGTATATGGATTTTTATTCTATTAAAAGTCCTCACAGGAGAATTTTCTTGGTCCGCATCATTAAACCTCAGCAGTGAGAAAATTCGCGGACGCAGACAAAGCGAAGATGTTTGTCATTATAGCATTTGGACTTCCCCCACGTATCGTAAAAAGCCTTCTAAATCCCAAATTTTGCTGGCCTATAAAACGGATGAGTCTCATGAGACGCACTGAGAGAAGACCCTACGTATGTGTTTGAAAATGTGGGATTAGAGTGGAAGTATTAAATTACGGGTATGCCACCTTTTGCCAAACATGGAAAAAAAAAAACACATCCGTTTTGTAGCTTGCCCCGCGAACCACTGATCATCACTCATTCATTCACTCAATCTGTTCGGTGCAAGCTATGAGCCGAATTACCGGTCTAACGTTCTACAATTAAACTTAATATGTTATGGGGATCAAATTGACTAAAAAGCGACGGAACAAAATTAGACCATTCCTATTTGTCATTCAAACGTGCGAAGTCACGCTATTCAACGTAAATAGTCTAAAAGGTCACGCTATTTACCCTCCTCGGACTGTCACATACATATAGAGACTTCCCTGAGACGGATCAGCTCATTATAGGACGTGGTCAAGAAATAACGGTGTTAAAGTGAACAAATTTAAAAGACCTAAGTTCGAGTCAATACGTACACGAGACTCATCTCACCAACTGATCATCACCAACAGTAAATAAATGGAGAAAGTGTGGCCGAGTGGTTGGAAAAGGTCGCTCTAAAAAACGAACATTTTTTGTCACTAATAAAAACCTAGCACTAAGTTTAGCCACTCACCGAAGTGTCAGCCTCTAAAGTGCAGGTTTTCCTTTATATGAAATTCGTCTCCAGAAAAGCCCAAAATTCGACATCGTTGCCGCCATTTCCTGTTGTCATAAAGCTCTCTAGAGCCTCTAATTTCATTGGATTTTGTCAGCACAAAGCTCTATTGGTTTTGGGCTACGGTCCATTGTTACTATTGTTTGTATATCATTTTCTCAGCCAATCCTGTGAGACGTTCCGAAGAGCTGCCATTTCGAACAGTACTCAGCAGCCAGGCCGCGTTTTCGTGACGTCATTTGGTCCAGGGGATTTTACAAGCCTTTCAACTACCACTCCAGGTTATGGCTACTCTTGAGCCTTTTATCGAAAATAATAGCAGTGAAGATAGTGAATGGATAATCGCTTGAAAAAATACATTTTGCTGACCTTGTGAAGGATGCCAAGTGAGTTGCAGGTTTTTCTGCTTCCCGCCACTTTCGACTTGGACGGAATGACGTTACTGACAAAAACACGGCCTGGCTGTCAAGTACAGTTTCAAACTTGCCGCCCCGATAGTTGAACTTTGGGCTTCTTTCGAGACTAATTTCTTCAGGATAGCAGGCACTTTATAGGCTAAAACTTCGCTGAGTGCAAAAACCAATGTTTACTTGCCATAGGTGGAGACAAAAAAGTAAGTTTTCTGGAGTGACCCTCTCCTTTATTTAATCCGGAGGTCCCGGGTCTCGACCCTGCACCATATTGCTGGCTTGTATTTTCTCTCAAGTCGTGAGTTCAACTTCTCGGCACGTCGTATAAAAACTTCACTGATTCACGACTGCTGTGATGTTTAATACTGAAGCATATTTTGTTTCTTCTGTATGAGACATGTCTGTAAATCATACTTGACCTGTGAGTTTCACCACGATAACAATAATACTGTTTTATTCGATCTACCATAACTATACTATTTCTATTTGAAGTTTGTGTCTCAAAGAATTCCTCTACATAACACAGTCAAGAGAAATGAGAGGGCTGACGTTAATATGTAATAACTCGGCTTCATGTTATTGTCTCCTTACAGCTGAACCTGTGTGGCACTATGCGTCTACGACAAGTTACGAAGCTGGAAACCGTTATTATGGAAGGTAGGATATAACAAAAATTTCGATTTGTATGAAATTCGTAGTAGCCTGTGAAAAGCAGTCAGCTCTCCACTAGTAAAATCGAAGGGAGGACAAGTGTGTGAGAACAAGCGAGTAAAAGAGAACGAGTGAGAAGAGCTTCTTTCTTGTTAGCTGCGTGGGTGTACTGAGAGCGACACGACATGAGAAATACTTTGCATTCGTTTCCCAAGCAAAATGTCTTAGATGCAGTTGGTAAAACATGTTATTCGTCATCGCTTTAAAAATTGACCGATTAGACAGACAAACGAAAAATTGTCTTTTCAAGTTGCCTCTATAAACCCAGCTTTAAATTTGGACTTTTCTTGTAATTTGTTTCCAGTATCTACTTCGTTTGTTTCTGTCATTGTTTGTTAATACCTTTATCTCATTACCTTCTTTCAGAAAGTAAAGGTCTGATACACAGTTAGTAAAACTTCTTACACGTCATCGCTTTGAAAATTGGCCGATTAGACAGACAAGCGAAAAGTTATTTCTTAAAGTTACCAATTTTAAATGTGGACCTTTTCTTGTAATTTTTTACAGCATGTGCGTTGCATGTGCCGTCATACACTGATCTTTTGCATGCATTTTGCTTTATAGATATAGCGATAATCAACTTGCCCAAGACGCCATGAATGTAACCCTGTTTCACTGGGGCATCCACGGCTGGATAGTGTACGTTGTTGTTGGTCTTCTCCTCGCCTTTGTGGGTTACAGAAAAGGCCTTCCCATGACCATGCGCACTTGTTTCTATCCTCTCATTGGCGAAAAGATCTATGGTTGGATGGGAGATGCCGTAGACATCCTTTCGGTGGTATGTACAATGTTTGGCGTTTGTACCAGTCTGGGTATCGGTGTTATTCAGATGAACACCGGCTTTAACCGCATTTTCAAGATTGACGTCACAGTCACTAATCAAATCATCATCATTTGGTGCGTCACTGCATGTGCTACAGCCTCAGTGATCAGCGGCCTGAAGGTTGGAATCCGTCGCCTGAGTGAAATCTGTTTCACCCTCGGGATGTTCCTGATGATGATTGCTTTCTTTTCCGACAACACTTGGCACATACTCAACGTTTACGTTCAAAGCATTGGCTACTACCTGCAGTGGATTGTGCAACTTGGCTTTCATACAGACGCGTTTGCACAACTTGGTAATGCACCGGACGGGAAGGAAGCCCAATCATGGATGAACGATTGGACCATCTTCTACTGGGGATGGTGGATCGCCTGGTCCCCTTTTGTTGGTATGTTCATTGCCAAGATTTCAAAGGGAAGAACCATCAGGCAGTTTATCAATGGTACAATGACGGCGCCTATAATATATTCGTTCCTGTGGTTCTGCATTTTTGGTACCGCGGGTTTAAAGATGGAACGAGAGGCTACGTTGGCCAACATCACCTGTAATTCTACGCTCGGAGGAAAGGGTAGTACGAAGGCTTTGAATGGCATGTTCCGCCTCTCGTGCCGACAAACAAACGACATGTGGTTTGATGTGATGGGCCAGTATGGTGACCTGGGAATGTTCCTTTCAGTGGTTTCACTGGTTAGCATTATCCTTTACTTTGTGACCAGTTCCGACAGTGGCTCCCTAGTCATCGACTGCCTCTCTGCCAACGGCGATCCTGAACCACCCGTCATTCAGCGCATCTTTTGGGCGTTAACAGAAGGTGCCTGTGCAACGGCTCTGCTTTATTCGGGAGGTACTAACGCTTTGAAAGCTCTGCAGGCAATGTCCATATCGGCTGGCGTCCCTTACACTGTCCTGTTGTGCTTTATGTGTGTGTCTTTATGGAGAGCAGTTAAAATGGATGCTGGTGATCTTGACCCTCACGGCCCCCAGTTTACTACAGGCCTCTTAGACGTGCTTAGCAATCCCACTCTGTCAAGCGTTGGAAAAGTTCTTCTTGCAGTCGTGGCACCATGGTATCCACTTAGTAAAGCCGCAGCAAAGATCGGCGGACCAAACGACCGCAAATGGCTGTATATGTTGGTTCTTGCAATTCCTTTTTATCTCTGGATTGTTTTCATGGCCTTCGAACCCATCGTTGAGGGCATATCATACGTTGGTTGGACAGTACTATGCGGATTCTTCGCCTATGCGACCTCTATCCGTAACTCCATACGAGAGAAGTATGGTATCTATGGCAACATGGCTGAAGATTTCTTTGCAGTGATGTTAACATACCCCTTTGCAGCTTACCAGATGGAACACCACATGGACAACGTGGACTACGATCTGGGTAAACCGGGGCGAAACGGTGCCGCCAACCACGATATCGGCCTGTCCGAGGTTCACGTCAACCCGCTAACCGATAGCCACGATCACGTGTCTGAACTTGATGCCAACACCCTGTCCAAAGAGGACGAGGCAAATGCGATTGCCAATGGTACAAACGGCCATGCTGACACTGCAGCGGATGTTTATGTCAACCCGCTTCCCGAAGAGGACATTAAGTTGTAACCATCCGTGATGGCATTGCTAAGGCAGGAATGAACAGAATCAAACTCTCGTGACTTTCATTTTGTCTCAAGTCAAGCGGACTTTTGTATCGTTCCATTAGTCAACCTTTAATCGCTCGCTAACAGACACCCTGTTTTTAGGGACCCTTTCTCTTAACAAAGTTATGGACGAGGCTGACCAAAGTTTATATAACATGCGAAGGATGTACCTAAGCTTAGAGTTGTTTCCTTAATTACAGTACTACTACCTTCTTTGTTAACATGATTTGAAAAAATGTACCAGATTTTCAGCACTTTCCTACTCCGGTTCACTCCAGGCTCGAAAATTTGAAAAAGTGTTGCAAAATTTGAAAATCACGTTGGCCGGCAGCCTACGAGAAA